GCTCTGGCCCCAAATCTGATCTATCCTTAGGAGTCCAAGCAGGACCACCTAGACCGCCATCTAGGCTGCACTACTTGACTAGGGCCCTGTGGGTTTATGCCCATGGTGTGTACTGACTCTCGCTTAGAAAGTTCCCATGGAGAAGTCGCCCACAAGAGCCTTTCAGAAAGGGAGCTGGGTAAAGAATAAATGGATACAGAGACCTTGCTCTGAATAAGGAAGCATAAAATTTCACAGCAACCCAAGAAAGGGCATTCCAGTGGTAACCCTCATGAGGCAGAGAGAGATGGGACTAGTTCTTCCTCAGCAATTGGGCCACAGTGAGGGGAAACACAGTTGTGAAAATAAATAAAGTATCTCAAGATCTCAATCAATAGGAGAAAACAGGAAAGCATAACAGGGATCTGATAAAGAAACATAGTTGAGTCACATCACACAGAAGAATCTTGGGATTACAAAAAAAACCATATCCAAAACCAGGACCCAAGCTGGGCCCTGACTCTTTGCCAGAAATGATGAGCAAGCTCCCAAGTGTTTCCTTCTCTCCCAGGCAGCTGTCTGCTAATAAAACATGGGTTCCATTTCATTATATTACTTCTCTGTGGGAACCTTCTAATTGGATGTCCTCCTTCCACACTTCCCCAAAACTACTCTTGCCAAGGTAACCAATTCTTACTGTTAAAGCTGACACTTTTGAATCCTCAGCAGACATTTCACACAAGTGATCTTGTTCTGGTTAAAATGCTCTGTTCCTCTGATTTCCAGGAAGCCACATGCTTCCTCTGTTGATTCTTTCTGTCCCCTTCCTCGGGGTTCTCTCCCTCCTCAAACCTTAAACCCTGGTGCTCCTTGGAGCATCATCAGTGTCTTCTCTTATCACTCTGCAGACTCTGACTCCCAATCTCTTATCCCCAGCCTCGCTCTCCAATTTACCCCTTTGGCAAAGAGATAGGACTCCATCACAACTCTGCTTAAAAACTTCTAGTGCCCAAAGCACACCACATGGTTCTCTGAATAAACTACAAATCTCAACACATGTCACACAGGTCTTTCCATGACCTGCCCCATCTGGCTCCCATCTCGCTCTCCCTTGGGCTTAATGCAATGACTTATAAATCCTCAAATGTGCCATGCTGTTTGCCTCCTGGGCTTTTGCATGTGCTGTCATTACACTTGGAATGCTTTTCCTCCCCTTCTTTTCTTATCTCGTCCTCCTTGTGATTCAAGTCTTGGTTCAGTAGTCTCCTTCCTCCAGGAAGCCTTCCCTGCCCACCTGAGACCATGCAGGAGCCATGTTCCAGGAAGTCTCACCTGGAGACTATTTAACTTTGACAGCAGCCCCTGACACACCAGACATCCAGACTGTGAACTCCCCCAGGGCAGCGTGCTGTATGATGGGCACTAGCACATCACCTAGCACAGACGAGATGCCCAGTAAATGCCTGTGGGGAGGCGGGGCTGGCGGATGACCTGGCTGGCCCTGCCTGTTTCCTACTTGTCTCCCAGGGTTGAAGAAGCAAAGAGATGCTGCCCAGAGCACTTAGCCGCCTGCCTGCAGATCTCCATGTTCTTTCTTTTCCTGACCACCTCACTTTTTTTTTTGGTCATTCCTCGAGTGTATGCCCACTTCCCCTCCAATACCAGGCCACGAACCCTATAATAATTCACTTCCAAGTGCCCTTCCTGCCCTTTCTTGATCTGTTGGCAGTGCGAAGAAAACTGGCCTTGGTTTGAGTCCTAGCTCTGCCAGCCAAGCTGTGTGACCTTGTCTGCGCCTGTTTCCTCGTTTGCAAAATATAACAATCCTTCACCAACCTTAGATCAACATATTAACCTAAGATGGTACCACTATTGTTATTGTTGCTATTATTATTATTATTATTATGTTAAATAATGATCTGCTAGACCTGAGGCAAAGGTCAGGAGGGCAGGAATCCATTGATTCCACAAATACATTTTGAACGTTTACTAAGCCAGGCACGGCTCCAGGCACAAAAATACCCCAGGGAACAAAACAGAGTCCCTGTCCTCCTGTGCCTGAGAGTGCAGTCCCAGGAGCGTTCAAGAAACCAACCAGAGCTACAAAGACAAACAAAGCCGAGATGGGCTGGCGCGTGACGCAGGGGCTCTCCTGCTTTAGAACCACTTTAATCCCCAGCACCTGCTCAGAACGTGAGGGACGGAATGAATGCCCCGAGTTCTGCTCCAGGATAGGGCTGGAGAGAATGCGCTGTCCCAGGACCCTTCTGCGCCGGGCGATGGCGCCAGATAGCGCAGAGGCTGGGTTCTGTGGGCCCCCCGGGTGACCTGGCTGCCGCCCCCCAGCAGCCTCGGGGCCCACCTTCATGCGGCTGTAGACGGTGGAGACCGGCGTGACCCGGTGGTGCTGGTGGGAGCCCAGCAGGCCGCAGAGGCCGCAGATGAGCTCCTGGTCCTTCTCGCAGAAGAGGCTGAGCGGGTTCCGGTGGTGCGCGCAGACCTTGGGCTCCGGGTCCCGCGGGAGTCCCAGGGCTTCGATCACCCGCGCCAGGGAGAGGTTAGGCGGGGAGCGGCTGCCGTCCACCTCCTGCCGGCACACAGGGCAACGCAGCTCGGAGTCCAGGTGGCAGAACAGGGACAGCAGGCAGCCTTTGCAGTAGGAGTGGCCGCACTGCAGCATGAGGGGCTCCTTGAAGATCTCGAGGCAGATGGGGCACTGCAGGCGGTCCTCCAGCTCCGTCATGCTCACCAGCCTCGCCATCCACCCTGCGGGCTGTCGCACAGGGGCCTTTCTGAGCGGGCTCCCTCCACTCCCTCTGCCCACAATTCCCTGGAAGGGGCCTCGGGAAATTAGAGGCCTTACAGACTCCAGTCCTAGATTCCAGTCCTGACCCTCTATAATCTTGGGCCTGTTTTCCGTCTTTAAAACAAAGGGCTTAAATTGGGGGGTGTGGGGTGTACTTTGAGATAGATGATTCTAACTTATTTAAACTCAGATTTGGAGGTAAACATGGAAGGGGCCATCTGCGGCATCATTTAGATGACAAATAATGCGAGCTCCAGCCTCGGCACGTGTCCTGACCTGGAACTGGACAGCAAAAACAAGCAAAGGTGCTTCCCACCTTCTAGATAAGTGTTCAAATTGGTGAGCAATGTTGGAATCATCGTTGTAATAGAGATTCTTGATTCACCCTTCCCACATCTCCAGTGAGACCCAGAAATCTACATTTACATTAGACACTCCCAGATCACCCTAAAGCAGAGTTCTGTCTTAGAACAACAATGTTCTGGAGAGTCTGGGACTTAGGAAAGCTGTATCTTAATCTCCCACCCTGTTCCTCCTTGAAAACTGATTGGCTCTAAAGACAGAAGCACGGAGCTAGAAGTCGGCAGCAGACTAGAAGTCGGCAGCAGACCCAAGGAGAGCCCCCCCCCCGCCCCCCCATGAAACTTCCTGGCTTCTTAGAATCCACTGAGCCTCCCACCAGGGCCTCAAACCAGCATCACTGACCTGATTGGCTTGGCCTCTTCTCCCCAGGATAGAATAGCAGGAGCAGAGACCTGAGGATTGCAGCTGGATGCTTGCTCCACCACCTTGTCACTACCCTTTCCTCCTCCTCTTTCCCAGCAACACCCCCATGTCCTCAAGGTCACCCAGAATCAGGTGGAAACTGGGCCACATCACGGGACTGGGGAGGCGGCCTTTGCTGGGCCGGCTCTGATAACTGTAACATTCAGGTGCTTGCTTTGGCCAGGCAAGGGGAAGGGGGACAGACAGAGAGACTGGGTACCCATTCACACCTTACAGACCCCAACGGGACAGATCTGTGCTTCAACACAATCTTTCTGAATCTCTCTTTTAAAGATATTTTTATTTACTTATTTAGATTTTTTAATTGGGGTATATCTTCTAAAAAGAGCACAAATCTCAACCACACACTTAAAGTAAACTTAATATATACTCACTCTCCAGATCAAGATACAGAACATTTCCAGAACCTCCCACGTGCCGCCCCCTAGTCAGAATGTCTAACAAGAATAGCTGCTCACATGACTCATATCACTGCAGATTCACGTGGCCCAGTTTTGAATTTCAAATTAACAGAATCATATAGTATGTGCTTGTCTGTGTCTAACTTCTTTATTCAACATGCATTAAGAACTTTTTTATATGAAGTCTTTCAATGGTTTAAAAGTTCAGTGACATTTTGTTATACAGTTAATAATATACTATGTGTGCTGGATATGTGATATGCAGGTCATAAGATACTATACATACCCCAGGGGTGTGGTGGGAATTACTGGTTGGAAAGGATAGGGTGAGAGGCTTCCAGGAGTGTTAAGAACAGGAGCGCTAGAGCTCCCGGTGGCAGGGTCTGGGGAAGCGGCGGCAGGCGCCATGTCTGCCTCGAAGGTGGCAAGAAGAAGCCCCTAAAGCAGCTGAGGAAGCAGGCCAAGGAGATGGGTGAGGCGGGTAAGGCAGTCAAGCAAAAGTAAAAAGAGGAGCGGAAGAAACTCAAGGAACTAAAGCGAAGGCTCAGGGGAAGGGTCCCCTGGTCACAGGTGGAATGAACAAATCTGGCAAATAGTGAGCTGTTCCGTGTGCCTGGGGCATTGGTGATCCTCAATTCCATTCCTGTTTTAACTTCTGGATTCCCTGTCATACCATCTGTTGCCATCTAGAGCTAGAATGAAGTGTTGTCTTGGAGCCTATGGTATATTTAAGAATTAACTTTTGTAAATAATAATAATAATCATGCAGTGACTCATCTCTTTAGTTCTTTTCACTCAGTCATCTCAACTTAGCTGTGAGGTCAGAGTAAACCCAGCCCAGAACCCTGCCAAAGTGTGTTCTTTGGTCTTTGTTCTATCCCAAATTCTGTACCACCTGGAATTAAACCAGAGAGAGAGAACTCTAGAACAGGAGCTCTATAAAGGTAGAGAGAGAGAGAGAGAGAGAGAGAGAGAGAGAGAGAGAGCTCTAGAACATCAGGCCACAACTCCCACAGACCTAAGCACCCATGTCTGCCAGCAGGAGTGGTCTCCACCCCAGTGTCAAGCAAGACTAAGGTCTGGTATAGGCAAATAGACAGCTAATTTTATTTGTTAATTCAAGAAATATTTATTGAGAACCTGCTATGTATCAAGCATTGAGCTGGGTATCCTATATAATAAAGTGGTAATATGCAAATTGACCCTCACACCCTCACAAGATGGCTGCCTATGACCAGGCTGGCAGGGGGGTTAGTGAGGGACAACCAAACGACTGAACAAGCAGGCTGCCTGGGGTGACCAGGCCGGCAGGGGGGCCATGAGGGGTGACCTGGCCAGCAGGGGCGGCAGTTGGGGGTGACCAGGCCAGCAGGGGGGGCAGTTGGGGGCGACCAGGCCGGCAGCGGGGGGGAAGTTAGGGCCAACCAGGCAGGCAGGCAAGTGAGCGATTAGGAGCCAGCAGTCCAGGATTGTGAGAGGGATGTCTGACTGCCAGTTTAGGCCCAATCCCCGGGATCGGGCCTAAACTGGCAGTCGGACATCCCCTGAGGGGTTCCCAGATTGGAAGAGGGTGCAGGCTGGGCTAAGGGGACCCTTCTCCCCCCCCCCCCACCCCCCCGCACAAATTTCGTGTACTGGGCCTCTAGTTAGGTATATATTAAAGAACAAGACAGACAAGGTTTCTATCCTTTTGGGGTTTATGATGTATGGAGGTAGGAGGTATAAGGTCATAAATAAGTTAATATAATAGTTTTAAATGCTATGCAGGAAGTAAGCACTGTGGTGGAAAAGGAGGATGGGGTGACAGGTTGTATGAGGTGCACTTGAGCAAGGGCAATGTCTTTGAGGAGGGATGGTTGAGCTGAGGCCAAAAGGATACACAGAAGCTGGCCACCTGAAAGGATTCAGGCGGGTAGACTGGCACTGGGTCAGCAAGAGCAAAGGCCCCGAGGCTGGAAAGCACTGAGAGAGGAGACCTGGGTAGCCGGAACATAGTAAGGGAGAGGAAATATCAGAAGATGAGGCCAGCGAGGTTGGCAAGGAGGGCTGTGTAGACTAGGGCAAAGGTTTGGATTTCATTTCAAGGGCAGTGGGAGCTACTGAAGAAACCGGTTTTAAGGCAAGGGAATATCATCTCATTTATATTTTTTAAATATCATTCTGGCTGCTGTGTACATAATGGATCACAGTAGTGTGAGCACTTGGATGGATGGCTGATGAAGCCGAATGACTGATACGCAGAAGAACAATGTAAACAAAAGACAAGGGGAATCCAGAGTCAGAAGCCTGAGGACATCCAGGTGGAGGAACTGAGTAGCCCAACTGGTCCACAGACAAATGTCTAGGCCGGCTGCAGAGTTTCTGACTCAGGAGTACATGGATGGGCCCAAGAATTTGCATTTGTAACAAGCATCGATGCTACTTTTGAGAACCATTGGAAAAGGCAGTTGGATACAGGCACCTGGAACAGTGGCACTTGGGAGGCTCTAAGCTAGCCAGGTATATGCCACCTGTTTATAGCACATCCTATATAATAAAAGCCTAGTATGCAAATTGTCCCCTTGACCGGGAGTTTGACTGGGAGTTCGAACCGCAGTTTGACCAGGGGGCGGGGCCGGCTGGAAGCCCCGGCTGGCGGTGGTGGCAGGCAGCTGGGGGAAGGGAGGCCCCGGCTGGCAGCCAGCAGCCGGCAGCCACTAGGAACCCTACCCATGCATGAATTTCGTGCACTGGGCCTTGAGTATTTAAACAAATGGTTGGAAATCTCTTAGGGATTGAAAACAGAGAAGGGCAGGGATCCAAGGACAGCCCTGAGGTTGCTAACCTTTAGAGGTCAGGACGTGGAGGATGACTGAGAGGGGACAGCCAGGAGGTAAGAGGACCATCAGGAGAGTGTGGTGATTGGAAACTGTGGAGCTAGAATGCCTCCCCCCCACCCCACCCACCAAAGATATCCAGGCCCAAATTCCTGGACCACTGGGAATATGTTACCATAAAAGGCAAAAGGGAATTTGAAGATGTCATCACGGTCATAAACCTGAATTATGCAGGTGGGTCCGATTTAATCACATAAACCCTTAACAGCAGAGAACTTCCTCTGCTGGAGTCAGAGAGATGCTGCAGAAGAGGAAGCAAGAGGACTGCAAACCTAAGGACTCAGCACCCTATCGGGGACTCTGGGTGCTGGGGCCCCTATGGGAGGATGGAGAGAAGCCTCCAAGAGCTAAGGGCGCCTCCTGGCTGGCAGCCAGGCAGGACACGGGGCCTCAGGCTCAGAGCTTCAAGGATCTCCATTGGCCAACAACCTGCACGAGCTTTGAGGTGGATTCTTCCCCAAAGCTTCCCTCGGGCCCATGCCTTGATTTGAACCCAATGAGACTGATGTCAGGCCTCTCGCCTACGGAAATGAGAGAGGATAAACAGGGGTTGCTTAAACAGCGAGGTTTGTGGCCATCTGTGATGACAATGATGGACAGCGAATATTGATGCCGAAAGAAAAGTGTTTAAAGGTCAGAGAGGTCAACTTCATCAAATGCAGTCAAGAGGCGCCTGATGGATTTCAGTCTTCTGTAGCGGAGCAGGGAAAGGTGGGTTGAACAGAAAATGGGGGGTGAGGAGGTAGAGACGGAGAAGTTAAAAAGGCCTTTGCAGCCGAACCGGTTTGGCTCAGTGGATAGAGCGTCGGCCTGCGGACTCAAGGGGGACAAAAGGGGGCTTGTTCCTTTTATGGTAGGAGATTTTCCTGTACGTAAGAAGAAAATGATCCCGTATTCGAGGCAGGACCGATGCAGGCGGGAGGGGGAACTGAAGTGCATGAGGAGACACGAGCGGGAGGGCCCGGCTGGAACCCAGGACTGTTCTCCCTTTGCACCCGGAAAGCGCAAGTGCAGCACGGATTTTGTAGATCTGCTGACGGAAAAGTGGGGGGCACCCGCTTGTCTTCTCAGGAACTGGGCAGTTTGACTCTAAAGCCCTGTCCCGGCCTGAATTTCTCGGAAAAACGAACGAGAAAGAAGGAAGGTGGAAATTCTGGGGCCTTGTGCTCACCAGCGTGCTCCGGCCACGTGACCCCACTGCGTGCCCCTCCCCCTCACGTGCTGTTGCCACGTGCTGCACGCCCGGTCACGTGCCCGGCCACGGCCCGACAGCCGACAGCCGAGAGCCGTTGGCTGCAGTTGGCGTGAGGCCCTGAAAGGAATGCCCGGGCCCGGGGCAGGCGGCAGGGCATAAAGGGCGGCTGGCTGCAGCCTTCGGGAGTTCCCTGGAGTCGCGGGCACGGGGCAGGTGTCTCGGGAGCGTCACGTGGACATGGTGGGGGACACCCGGACTCCGGGCGCCATGCGAGTGGAAGGCGCCCCCGGGCAGGTGAGGGCCCCACGCGGGCGAGTCAGGATGGGGCGCGGTTGCCACGGTCAGTGTGGGGGCTCTGAGTCTGTGTTTCTTCCCCGGAAAGTCTCCTTACCAGAGGCTGAGCCAGTGGATGCTGGACATCTCCGGGGACCAGGGCGTGCTCAAGGACGTCATCCGCGAGGGCGCTGGCGAGCTGGTGGTGCCGGACGCCTCGGTGCTAGGTAGGCCCGCTCTCGCCCCCGGGGCCGCCATCTGTCCTGGGCAGCTGAAGGCGCGGGAGGACTGGCGGCTTCCGGGCACTTACCTTGGGGGGAGGGGAGGCACCTGGCTTGGGTAGAACATGCTTTGTTAGAATTAGATTTTTTAAAAATATATTTTATTGATTTCTTACAGAGAGGAAGGCAGAGGGATAGAGAGTTAGAAACATCAATGAGAGAGAAACATCGATCAGCTGCCTCCTGCACACCCGCACACCCCCCACTGGGGATGTGCCCGCAACCAAGGTACATGCCCTTGACCGGAATCGAACCTGGGACCCTTGAGTCCGCAGGCCGACGCTCTATCCACTGAGTCAAACCGGTCAGGGCCTAATTCTGTTGCTTTTGTGTGATAATTGAAGAGACGTGATGTTACGGAGGTGAGGGTATTGGTCCATTTTTCTGTGTCTGTGCCCTCTGTCCTAGTGAAATACTCTGGGTACCTGGAGCACATGGACAAGCCTTTTGATTCGAATTGCTTTAGGAAAACGCCCCGACTCATGAAGCTGGGAGTGGGTAAGTTCACAGGAGGAGCTGGAAAAGAAGGAGTGTTTCGGGGGCATTGATGAGGGACAGCGCGCTAGGCCTGGGAAACTGTCCCGGGCACAGGTTCTTTGGGTCGGTTTTTGGAGGCTGGGTTTTTGCTAAACCAGCCAGCTCTCGCCTACGTTTCCCCTTGAGACCTGGGTATTAGGGAAATGTCCTACCTGGCAAGGTTATCTTTGCATCCTGACCTAACCATTGGGCATTGTGTTCTTGTTTGTTTAAACATCTGTTGAATGCTTACTACCCACAATGCACGCTGAAAAGAGAGAATGTACCCAGGTGATTAGAACACGGGAGCCGGTGTGGTGGTGGAGATTGACTCGTGTTCAGACAACTAACCTGGTAGAATCGTTTAAGTTCCTGGGAGGGATTCCCACTGCTGCAGGAGCCCTTAATGAAGGCATCGTTAGTTCCAGCTGGGAAGATCAGGGAGGGTGTCCTGGAAGAGGCGGCATTGGAAATGAGCCCTGAAGTTTGAATAAGATTTCAATCAGGCCAGACGCTGGGCATGGGGAGGAAGATGTTGCAAGAAGAAAGAACTGTGTGAACAAAGATGTAGGGGCCAGAATGCTGCAGAGCCTAAAGAAGTTAGAGTTGGAAGGGTGGTGGTAATGGGGAATAGGCTGAAAAGTGAATTGGGGCCACAGTGCAGAAAGAGATTTGGACGTAAGGAGGAAAGAAATTGATAGCACTGGAACAGGGTACTGGGAGAACTTCAACCAAGTTCTTTGTCCCTTCTTCCAGATATTACCCTTTGGGGCATGGAGCTGGGTCTTCTGACCATGCGGAGGGGAGAGCTGGCCAGGTTTCTATTCAAACCACCCTATGCCTATGGAACACTGGGCTGCCCGCCCTTGATCCCCCCCAACTCCACTGTCTTATTTGAGATTGAGCTAATTGACTTCCTGGATTCTGCTGAATCAGACAAGTTTTGTGCCCTGACCGCCGTAAGTTCTGGAGTACAAATGTCACACTTCATAGAGAGAGGGTTGGGTTTGTGTTTTTGGTAATTATCATGCCACGCTGATGCTCCTCTGGCCCAGGTTCCACCCCTGAGGCTCCTGGGTGGTGGTGGCGGCGGTGGTGTTCCCCCACTTCATACTCTGTCCTTAATGTTGGCCCTTAGATGTGGGTCACTGTGCAAGGCCAAGGCCAGGCTGTGGGTTTGTTATGGACCAGCAGTTTGAGTTGATTTTTCAGTCAGTCACCTTTGCCTACTTCTCTCTGCAAGATAGTGGGCATTTGCTTCTCAACATTAAGGTTGGTTTCCAGCAAGTGAAGCCTTGGTAGTTCATAAGTAGTGTGACCATCTAATTTGTTGTCCAAGCCAGGACACTTGAGAGTGAAATGGGCTATTAAGTGGATAGGATACCAGGACATCAGGTGTAAATGGGATAATCCCAGGAAACGTGGGACATATGGACTCTGTTCTCATAATTTAAGTGTTGCCATTTCTTTGTTGCCTTTACTTAACCCTTCCTATAAAGGTAGGGCTTCAAATCTCGTTAGTAGTCAGAGGCACACTTTGTCATTCTATCTCACTCTGACTGTATATGTGATCTTAGATGTCCACCCTAGATTTACATCTGTATCTGATGTCTCCCCAGCTAAACTGTCAGCACCCCAAGTGAGGAATCTTACCTTTTTTCATCTTTACACATAACAGGTTCTTGCAGATGCCTGGGTCCCACTTCTAGTATACTGATTTAGAATCTCTGGGTGGGGGGGGGGGGGGACAAGACATCTGCCTTTAAAAGGAGGCGCTATGGATGATTTTGATATGTACCCAAGGTAGTGCATTGTGGCTATAAAGACCAGTATGGCCAGGGGCAGACCAAGACCTGTTAAATTTTGGTTGATAAATAGTTCTGATTTCTGTGCTTGACAAGTTCTATCAGTTTCTAATTCCATGAAAACTGCTGCTTTAGGGAATGTCTCTGGGAGGACTATAGAAGGTCTCCTTTTGGCTCTAGCTGTGAAGTGGGGGCGGTGATAACACCGAACTGCTGTGGCTTCTATTGGAATTCACACAGATGACCTGGGCAGAGGCACCTAGCCCAATGCTTGGCACACATACGGCAATAAACAAAAGTCCATAATCTGAAGAAAAATGGAACAGGTGTAATTATACTGACATTGTGGCATCGTAGCTTTCAGTTTTCTTGTTGGGTGTCCTTATCTTTGGTCCTCAGGAGCAACAAGATCAATTTCCACTTCAGAAAGTCCTAAAAGTGGCAGCTACTGAACGGGAGTTTGGCAACTACCTTTTCCGCCAAAATCGTTTCTATGATGCCAAAGTGAGATATAAACGGGTAAGAATGCTTAAGAAGTGTGTTTAGATCCTGAAATTTTTCTTGTTTAAAAGACATAGATGTTGTCTCTTTAAGAAAAATGTCAGTAAATCCCATTAACCTTCTCAAACTAGATAGCTGGGAGAGGGGACAAGGTATTTGGGGGAAGCCTGGTGTTCTGTGTCTGCTACTAAATGCTGACTACATAGGTGTGTTCAGATTGTGAAAATTCATTGAGCTGTACTTATTTTTGTACTTACCTATGTGTGTGTATGCATCTCAGTAAAAAGTAAATTATCTATTTACTAGAGGCCCAGTGCACGAATTCATGCACGGGTGGGGTTCCTAGGCCTGGCCAGTGATTGGGGCTGATTGGGACTGATCGGGGCCAGCCACCTGGGGGAAGGGGATGGGGCGGGGTGATGAGGAACCGTGGGAGGTTGGCTGTGGGAGCACACTGACCACCAGGGGGCAGCTCCTGCATTGAGCATCTGCCCCCTGGTGGTCAGTGTGCGTCATAGCGACTGGTCGACTGGTTGATTGACCAGTCATAAGGGTCGCTTAGGCTTTTATATATATAGACTAGAGGCCAGATGCACGAAATTCGTGCAAGAGTAGGCCCTCGCTGCCCCGGCTCCCCCAGCCGCCTCGGCCCTCACAACCCCGGCTTCCTCTGTAAGGTCATCTGGATGGTCGTCCTACTGTTCAGTCATTTGGTCGATTTACATATTATGCTTTTATTATTATAGATTTATTTATTTATTGTTAATCCTCACTTGAGGATATTTTTTCATTTTTTTTTTAAAGAGAGAGTGGAAGGGAGAGGGAGAGACAGAGAAACATTGATGAGAGAGAGAGAGACATTAATAGGTTGCCTCCCACATGCACCCCGACCAGGGCCAGGGAGCTTGCAACCGAGGTATGTGCCTTTGACCAAATTGAATCTGGTCTCCTTCAGTCCACGGGCTAACACTTTAACCACTGAGAAAACCGGCTAGGGCAGTAAAAAGTTTTTTAAAATTCTCATCTTAGAATTATATTAGGTCTTCTATCAACTGATTTTCCACCCCTCTGAGAAGTTTCCTATCTGACAGTGGAGATTCATTTAACTCTCTGAGGTGACTCCCTTCTCGCCAAGTTTTTTATTGTGATTTGGCTTCTTGTGTAGGTTATGCTGACAGGAATTCGCTGTGCTTTGTAACTCATTCAGTAAATACTATGAGCACTTTCTGTGTTCCAGACTCCGTGCCTGAAGTTCTCAAACAGGGCAGAGTTTAAAATCTAGGGGTAGTCTGATTTTATATCTCATTTGCATATGAGCCTAAATCATTCAGGATTTGCACTCAGCTGCAAGCAACAGAATTCTGGGAAACTTCTTTAAGCAAAATAGATATTTACTTTTTCCTCACATAAAAAGGGTGGCAGTCCAAGGCTGTAGAGCAGTTCGATGAAGCCACCAGGGATCCAGGCTCCTTCTGTCTTTCTGCTTAGCCACCCTTACATGTGTCCTGTTTTTCCCCCCAAGATGGTCATTCAACTTGTAGCATCACATGAGTACCTGGGCAGAAAGAAGAGAGGGGAGAGGAGTCTGGTGTGTTTGTATATTACTTCCCTTTATATTTCATTAGCCATGTTAAATGGACAGCCCTTAGCTGTATAGGAAGCTGGTAAATGTACTTTTAAAATTAGTACTTTGCTGCTTTGGATGAAATGGAAGTGGTTAGGAGAAGAGGAGGGGAATAGATATTGGTTACGCAGCTAACAGTATCTGCCACATTTGGCTTATGTGAATATGCTTCAGAGAGAGAAAAGAGGAGAGCATGCATGTGCCTGTCTTTTGGAATGCTGACAAAATCTGGTTCTTACACTTGGATAGTACAGATTTTGTCTCACAGTTGAATCATAGATACTATTCATAAAGTTTCTTGAGAGCCTGCTTACTTGAAAAATTTTTTTCTCTTGAAAACAGACCACTCCTTCTCTCTTATTTCCTGGGTCTGATCCCCTGAGGCAGTCACTTTTTAATTATATCTGCTGTTTTTATGATATTCTGAATTTATAAATGACATGCTTTAGTTGCTCTTTCAGACATTTTTTTATTTCTCATTACAGAAGGTGAGGCTTTAGTTCTCACTTCTACTTTCCCAGTATTGTCATAATTTTAATTTTTTAAAATTGATTTTATAGAGGGGGAGAGAGAGAGACATCAATCCATGAACATGAGATGTCTTTCCATTTATTTGTCATCTTTAATTTCTTCCAACAATGTTTTGTAGTTTTCACTGTACAAGTCTTCCACTTTAAATTTATTGCTATTTATTTTATTCTTTTGATGATACTATAAATAGAGGTGGTTTTTTTTGTGTTTTTTTGGTTAATTCTCACCTGAGGATATTTTTCCATTGATTTTTAGAGAGAGTGGAAGGGAGTAGGAGAGACAGAGAGAAATATTGATGTGAGAGGGACACATTGATTGATTGACTCCCACACTCACCCCAACCAGGGCCAGGGATCGAGCCTGCAACCGAGGTATGTGCCCTTGACTGAAATCAAAGCCGGGACCCTTCCGTCTGAAGGCAGACACTCTATTCACTGAGCCAAACCAGCTAGGGCTGGAGTTATTTTCTTTTTTTAAAAAAAAATATTTTTTTTATTTATTTTTCACAGAGAGGAGGGGAGAGGGATAGAGAGAGAGTTAGAAACATCGATGAGAGAGAAACATCGATCAGCTGCCTCCTGCACGCCCCCCACTGGGGATGTGCCCGCAACCAAGGTACATGCCCTGGACCGGAATCGAACCTGGGACCCTTGAGTCGGCAGGCCGACGCTCTATATGCTGAGCCAAACCAGCCAGGGCTGGAGTTATTTTCTTAATTTCATTTTTGGATTGTTTATTGTTAGAGTATAGAAATATAGCTAACTCATATATTGACCTTGTATCCTGAAACTTTGCTGAACTAAATTTTTAGCTCAAAAGGATTTTTTTGTGGATTCTTAGGCTTTTCTGTATATAATATTGTCACTCCTCTTGACCACCTGTCTTTCCTCTCCACAGGCCTTGTTGCTTCTCTGCCGGCGATCAGCACCCCCTGAAGAGCAGCACCTGGTGGAAGCCGCCAAGCTTCTTGTTCTCCTTAACCTCTCCTTTACATACCTGAAGCTGGAGCATCCCACCAGGGCCCTGCACTATGGAGAGCAGGCTCTGATTATTGACCAAAAGAATGCCAAAGCCCTCTTCCGTTGTGGACAGGTGAGTTGGAGGACAAGGACTTGAGAACAAATGCCTAAGCAAAGGTGGCAATGGTGTTCAACTTGGGCAGTGCAAAAAATGCTCTTTCCTAATTATGCTTTTAAATTCTGTCATTTGACAGGCCTGTCTCCTCATGACTGAGTATCAGAAGGCCCGAGATTTTCTAGTCCGAGCCCAGAAAGAACAGCCCTTCAATCATGACATCAATAATGAGCTGAAGAAACTGGCCAGGTGAGACCTGTGTTTGCACTTCTGCTAACAGAGAAAGAGAGGTATGATGATGCCTTACGGTTCTGATCTCTCCACCTGGGGATGTTGTCCAGCACCTGTTATGAGGCAGCGCCCCCTAGAGCTAGTTGTTTGAAGTGTTCAATACTCTAAACCAGCAGCTCCTAGTGGGGAAGTGGGACCAACTCCCAACTACATCTGTCTGGATCATTTTCCATCCCTAAAGAGGAGGGCTAATGTGATTTTTAAAAGGGACTTGTTCTTCAGATACTCTTTCTATTTGACACCAACTGTTCTCAACTGACTGCAGAAAGGTGCCTTATAGACCCTGGTTTGATCTGAAATTGATCTTTCAGGTCTGATTCATACCCATAGGGTGTTTTGTTATCCAAGTAATATATATATACACACCAGTCTTTCAGTAATGTAACTATTTATTTATTTATTTGTTTGTTTATTTTAATCCTCACCTGAGGGTATGTTTTTTATTGATTTTTAGAGAGAGGGGGAGTGGGGGAGAGAGAGCAAAACATTGATGTGAGAGAGAAATATCAATCAGTTGGTTGCCTCCTGTACAAGCCCTGAATGGGGATCGAAAGTGCAATCTTTTGGTGTACGGGATGATGCTCCAAGCAACTGAGCCACCCAGCCAGGGCCAGTAATGTAACATTTTATGATTATAGAAATTTCATGTTCATTGTAGAAAATTTTGAAAATATCAACATAAATTTGATATTCCACCACCCCATAATATATACACCATTTGTTTGTTTTTTAATATATTTTTATTGATTTCAGAGAGGAAGGGAGAGGGAGAGAGAGAGAGCAACATCAACGATGAGAAAGAATCATTTATCAGCTGCCCCCTGCATGCCCTCTACTGAGGATCGAGCCTGAAACCCAGGCATGTGCCCTGGCTGGGACTCAAACTGTGACCTCCTGGTTCATAGGTCAATGCTCCACTAAACCACGCTGGCCAGGCTACATCCACCGTTTTTTAAGATGTTTTTGTTGTTGTTGTTGTTCAGTATTGGTGAATTTCTCTACTCCTGTTAACATTAAACATTTAATCCAAATTGCTTAGTTAAAGCTTTCTTGAAATTAAAAAAAGCTGATGTATGTGTACCTCTTTATATTTGGATCCAATTGTATTTTGGGCCTTTTAGAACTTTCCAACAATTTCCTTTCTGCTATTTATAAGTATCCTGTCAGGATAAATGTAGAAATTTTGGAATCTAACCATTCTTTAGCAAAAAAAATCTCAAGATAAGTTAGTGGTTACTCAGTGTGAGGTGTCACCTGGCAGCTTCACTGACAGTGGCTCCTAGCCTTCAAGGCTGCCATCTTTTCAGAAATGGGCTTTTTGTCCAAGGGCTTCCTTAACAGCTCTTGGGAGCCTCCACTGTCTCACCTACCTCTCCAGTATTGCTTCCACCCGCTCCCGATTCAGTTTAAAGCCCACTGAATTTTCAGTGCTTTTGGAGCTGAGTGGAGAATTCCAGCCACCAGATGTCACCTCCTACAAAGACAGATCTTCTCTAACTACTGTGTATTTCACTTTACAGCCACTACAGGGACTACACAGATAAAGAGAAAGAAATGTGCCATCGAATGTTTGCTCCTTGTGATAATGGCTCTACAGTAGGAGAAAAGTAAAGGTAATAAAAGGACTAAAGCATAAAAGGATTTTGTCCAGCAAATATAAAAATGTGGTTCTCATCAACCCACCAGTGGCTGTCTACAGCTGAGGATGAATGGGAGTAGCAAAATTCCTATTGAAGGTAGTGACACAAGTCTAGTGCAGAATGCACACACTGTGGGTCTTCTCATAGAGAAGATCATAGAAAAGTTTGGAAAGTCCATCCAGAGCTTGTGGATAAGTTTTTAGGTTTGTGAAGCCTTAGGCTTTAAAATGAAAACAATTTTTTCATATTTTATGTTAATCTCTCCCTCACAGAAGCTTGGAACATGAAAATGTAATAGTCATTAATGTGATGGTTTATCTGAGTTTTGAAATGAACAGTAATACTTCTCTTATCTGGTTTTTCCTGAATGCCTCCAACTTCACTTTACATCTAATACATCATTTAAAAAGACTACATTCAAATGTCAAGGGGTAAGCATGAGCAGTGACTGAAGCTTTGCTTGCTATTAAAATTAGAGATTTGAAGATTTTAGAACCAACAGGGAGCAGAAGTTCACATTTCTACCACAGCATTTACCTTGTGATTTAGCAGGCACAGGGTTAAGGTTTCCCATGAGTACATGAGATAACCCTCTCGTCTGGTTTACTATTACTTAAGAAAATTAATGGAAACAAAATCACCTGCCTTAAACACCTGCTTAGCTGGTAGATAACTCTGCTCTCTCTCGAGAGAAGTTAAACAAGGGACAACAAGAAAACAGCTGCCCAACGGGCTCTTGGTGATAAATCTCTCCTTTGTTGCTACCTACATCCCTCTACAAAAGAGGCTTGAGAGAAGAAGGCAGTGAAAAGGCCTATTCATCCCAGACTTTTTCACAGGTGATCTACAAACTGCTGCTGTCTGCCCTGTCAGAAACAACCTATCAGTATCAGAAGTAAATGTGCCTTCCTCACTGACCCTGACCCTGTGACCCTGGCCTTCAGGTCTTTCAGGGACATTGGAGTATTTGAACTGAGATGTGAGCCAGAGGATTTCTCTTACTTGGCTGCTGTTAATGTCCAGTACAAATGGAGGCCGGTGGCTTTTTTTAAAAAATATATTTTATTGATTTTTTACAGAGAGGAAGGGAGAGGGATAGAGAGTTAGAAACATCGATGAGAGAGAAACAGCTGCCTCCTGCACACTTCCTACTGGGGATGTGCCCGCAACCAAGGTACATGCCCTTGACCGGAATCGAACCTGTGGCCCTTGAGTCCACAGGCTGACGCTCTATCCATTGAGCAAAACCGGTTAGGGCGTGGCCGGTGGCTTTTTGCAAGACATTTTAGACTGTGACCTGGTATATTCTGCCATTTAATGAATATCCAGTTCTTCCAGGGTCCATCCTAGAAACAGATCTTGGAAAACCCAGCAGAGCAGCAAGTTCCCTTTCCATCATCTTTACCTCTCAGCTTTCTCCGTCAATCAGATTTTTTGGAGCCTAATGATTTTTAGATGCTATCCCATGCATTTCTAAATCGTGAGTGTTTTTCTTATCATCAGCAGTGACTGGGGTCTAAAGTGGTTATGATTGTCATATTCCTGTGCTGTTGTAGTTGTAACATATTGTGGCTTTTGTGTCATTGGTATTTTTCCTACTCCACCTTTTCCTCTGTTGTACTTGTGCTGAGTTAGTCACTTAAAATGTCTAGGTTTTTAGATTCTTTTGACAATATAATTTTAACTGAGTAGGAGCATTTAAAATTTGTTCTTCTCAGATGTTAGGTATTCCTGACTTGTCTTCATCTTGTCTCCTAGTATATTAGACAGTTACCTTGGTGGGTTGAGTGTTCTAAGCCTCTGACTGTAATAGACTGAATTTTTTTTTTAGATCAAAGGCCATGTCTTTTTCATCTTTGTATTTTCTAGTACCTGGAACTATGCCTGGCACATGATTAGCACTCAGTAAATGTTGGTTGGATCAAGTGTAAAATAGCGGAAATGCTAGACCAGTCTCTTTGAAACCATACCCCCCAGGCTGGCTCTTGTATTGGCTGTCAGGACTGTTGTTTAGTACCAGTGACAGAAATACATCTTTATCTAGCATCAGCTAAAAAAGAGAATTACAGAAGGGATCCTGGGGTAGCTCACTGAATCAAAGGAGGAGTTGAACAACCAATACTCAAGCAGGTACCTGCAGTTCTGAGGGCCTCAGGGTCCTGATCTCATTGCTGCTTTATTCTCTTCCATTATAAGGAGTGCCCAGACATCCATTTGCACAGTCTTTCTATTTAAGAGAGGGCTCTCCTTATCCCACACCTTCCTCCTCTTCTTGTACCAACCATAGCTCCAGTTTGAAAATCCTAAGGCAGGACTCTGGCCTGGTTTCAGGTGTGTGGAGTCCCATGAGTGGCACCCCTTCTTAGCACCACAGGTTAGAGGAGCAATGGTTGTTTGAAGAAGGTTGCTGCACCCCAAAAGCAAGGGGATGAAGACAATGGGCAAAGGGTAAGAGGCCCATCAAAGGGTATTTAACTGTAGCAGCCACTGTTCTGCTGAGTTGTGCCCTTTAGTCTTGCTGTTACAGAGCGGTGGGTCATTTGCCAATTTGGTGAATTAGGAATCTCTTGCAGCTCCTCCTGCTAGGAGCTCAACAGTGGAAAGAGCAAATACATCCATAGTTCTGCCATCACGTCTTTTTCCTTAGTTTGGATTTTCAGAGGGCATGGAAAAACACAGACCTCTGCATGGAAGTGTTCCTGGGGGTAATCTAAAAAGTCAAGATGGTGGTCAGTGTGTTCACTCATGTACATCAGAAGACCTAAAGTTTTATAGGACCCCTCCCCTAGCTAATATTTGATAAGCTGCTTTGAAACTGCTTTCCCTGTGGTTTGCAATGCAGTGTTCCTGTTTATATATACTACATTCAAACTTTCATAAATGGACATTTTCTAACTACGTACTTGGTTAAGATTTCACATATATCCATCCATAGTAGTGATTTTACCAGGGGCATCAAAGAGCTTTTGTAACAGATGCTGTCATAGCTGGAAACATTTGGAATAGTGTTCTAACTTTTTTCTTTTTTTATTGAATTTTATTGTTGACAGTATTACAGATGTCCTCCAATTCCCCCCCTACTTAAACCCCTCCTCCCATCATCCTGAATGAGTGAAGAAGAGGGTCCCACTGCACCACCTCATTACTCCTTCCCCAAGTACCTCTTGAGAACTGGTGGTTTTCACATGCTCTGGCAGGTGCTAGGTGGCACTGCTGGTCTGCAGGGGTGGTGCTCTAATAGGGAGGACAGGATGATCAGTTGGATCACAGAGTACACAAGAAGAGTGCTATGATGGGCAGCATCCTGACCAGAGAAAAGCTTTGCTGAGGCAGTCCTGAAGCTTCAAAGGGTAGCACTGGGCACAAGGAGGGAGTGGGGGGTGTGTGTGAATGGACAAGACAAGGAGTCCAGTGCTGAGGTCAGTTGTGGACCAGGTATTGTCCTGGCATTTCAGTCTTTTTTGGAGTGTGGACTGTGTTCTATAGGCATCAGAGGAGGGGAAAGATGTGATCAGAGTTGAGATGATCTGACAGGCTCATGTAAGAAGGGGCTGAAGGGCTGTGTTGGAAGCATCAAGTCTGGCAGGTAGAAGATGTTTGAGAAGTGATGACAGCCTAGAAGTAAAAGCACCAGCAGAAATGGAAAGAAGACAGGAGTATGAGGCCTCCCATCTAGAATGGATGGGAGGTGCTTTCAGTCAAAAGAATTCTAGTGGCAAATGAGAACTTAGTTAATAAAGAACGACCATAGAGGGTGTACAAGGTGACCTATGGGCAAAGGTGGAAGGAACTGAAGCTATTTATTCTGGAGAAGAGAAGCTTTAAGTGGTATGTGTTAGCTAATGGAACGAAGTGGCTTGGAGTGGAGAGTATGCAGAATTAGGAGTTAGAGATGATCACAGTGAACTAGGAGTGATAGAGAAATCTTCTGGAGGAGAAGGCAGAACTTGAGTGAGTTCACAAGGCTAATTGGTAGGCTTGGCTAGATAGAGGGAACTCACCCTCATGGTTTGTCATATTTTATTTTAATGGCATTGCTCACCATTTATTCATTTTATTTTTAATGTGTTTTTATTAATTATTGTCAAAATATATATTAAACTTATTTTATATGCCAGGCATTCTTTTGTATGTTTTATGTGGATTGTTTTTAATATAACATCTCTATAATATAGATATCTCCATCTTATAGATGATGAATTAGACATGAAGAAGCTAAGTAACTTGCCAAGGTTACAAAGCTAATAAGCGATAGTGCCAGGGATTCCAACCTTGGCAGTCTGGCCCAGGCCACCAAGTTGAGGAAACAATCAATACAAAAGGGTTCAACAGAAAAAACCAATTTTAACTTGAGCTTCTTTTGGGGATTCTTCCATATAGCTAAATATTCTGTTTGTATTGCCATTTCTTGATTTTTATCAGTTTTGGACATGTGTCTATAGACTTCCTGCTGTGATATGATATAGTACAATCTTTTTCCTCCCTTTATAGTTCTACTAGAGGCCCAGTGCACGAAATTTGTGCAAGAGTAGGCCTTCCTTCCCCCGGCTGCCGCCACTGGCTTCCCTCTGGCACCTGGGACCCGGGCTCTGCTCCGGCCGCCTGCAGGCACCCGGGACCCGGGCTTCGCTCGGCCCTGGCTTCATCCAGAAGGACGTCCGGAATGATGGCTGGTCTAATTAGCATATTACCCTTTTATTAGTATAGATTACTACTTTTAGGCCTTCTATTAGATTCTTGTAATAAAAATTACACTCATATTGATGTTTCTGATTTTGTAAGCTAAAGACAGTATTTTCTATACTCCACTTTGTATAATGAGAATATTACTAACTAAAAAGCCAGTGCTATGCTTTTTAAAAATTTTTAAGCTTTAAATTTTTCTTCAATTTCTAATTGAATTTCTTTTCTTTTCCTTGATTTGTTTGCATTTATCCTTTTAAAAACCCAGTGGTACTACTAGTATATAGT